GCTCACGCTGCTGCTGTACACGGCGCTGCGGTGCTCGGGGCCGCCCCCAGAGGGCGCTTGCGGGCCTGGGAAGCCGACGCTGGTGTGCTCCAGCGCGGTGGGGAGCTGGTCGCACTCTCAGCAGAGGAGGAGTCAGAGGGTGTGCTCTGGGGAGGGCCCTCCCAAGACCGACCTCATGGCCTTCAGTCCCGGGCTACCTCCGGGTTTGGATAGAGAAGATGGAGGGGAAAGACAGGAGACAATAGCAAGTCATTCTGGACAGGTGAGTTTTCTACAGAATTTCCCTATTCAGGAATTTGTTGCCTAATTTTTAAAAATCTAGTTTTCTTCCCATAGAAAACGTTGTCATGAATACTCTGTATTTTTGTACTGTTTTAAAAAAACAACGGCAGTTTGTGAAACTCCTGATTCAGGCTTTTAATAATATTCAGGTTTCTTTATCTAATAAATGATTTATTTTTTCCTAACGTTTGGTTTAAAAATGTTAAGACAACTTATTTAGCTTTGTTTATTTACTTATTTTAATTTTACTAGAGAGCAACAGTGTGTGTGTTGGGGAGGAGAGAATAAGGCGGGCCACCAAGTTTGGGATTCGAACTGCCATAGGACATGTGGGAGTCCGGCGCCCTTAACCACCACACTACTTGCCAGCCCCTAAAACAACTTTGATGTAAAAATAATTCTTCAATTTTCACTTGAGTAGTAATAATTACCAGTTTTTATGATCTACATATGCCGCATCATCTCAAATGCTCAGTGATGTTGACGATCCCCGTAGGTTTGTTAAGTTTGCTCATCTTTGTTCTTTAATGGCCTTTTGCCTTGACATTTTCTCATTATTAGATCAAGTGGCTTTTCTAACTTCAGGCTTGTATCAAATGTTGAACACTGTCTTCATTATCTATGAAACGATTTACTTTTCTTTTTCTATGGTGTTAAACATTCTTCATAAATTTATTATCATTAAAATAACATTTAGTTTTTTTGTGATAAAACATGTTTTCAAATTATTTGAAGACAAAGTCCAACTTCATATTCCAATATGCTGCTTATGTTGAAATAATATAAGTTCACTTCTATTCTAGAAAAAGAATCTTTGGGGCTGTCAGGTGGCATGATGGTTAATGGCACTGGACTCCCACATGGTTGACCATGGTTCAAGTCCCAGACCTGATTGTTTGCTTTCTCACTTTCTCTCTCGCTCTCTCTCTCTCACTCTATCCCTTTCTGGTCAAATTAAAATAAATAAATGAATACATAAAGTTAAATAAAAATTAAATTAAAAGAATGATTTATTTAATTGTATTTATTATTATTATTTTTAAATTTGACCAGAGACAGAGAGAAAGAAAAGGAAAATAAGAAAACAAATCACCAGGTCCAGGACTTGAACTGCAGTCAGCCATGTGGGAGTCCAGCACCTTAACTACCATGCCACCTACAGGCCCCAATTCTGTTTATTTTTTTATTTTGTTCCATGAAATGACAGAATGTTGATCAATACTACATACTCAAACAGAGCTGCCAGTTTTATACTTCCAAAACTTACTAAAAGTATTCCAAATTATTTGATCAAGTCATTTGAACCTGCTAAAAGTATATACATAGGCTTATAATATCTGCAAAATATAATATAAGTGGTATTCTTTCTTGAGTTCTGGGGATTAATTGAGAAAGAAAACCTAATTCTATTGAGTACCTACTTTTAACTATCAGTCTCATTCACTTCACATTTTGACTGTTCTCTCACTAAATGCTTTATCCCTAATGTTCATGAATTTTCCCATGTGGTGAATCTTCTCTAAAGGTTCTAACTAAGGTAATTTATCTTGAGGTCATTCTTTTAATTCAGTGACCTTAGGTAGTTAAAGTGGCAGGATCGCAGGCCCCTTTGAGAATCAGATGTGGCATTTCCCCCTCCAATTACACACCATACCATTTAGTACAATACTTGAGGAGTCCATGCTGAAGCTCCTCTTGAACCACAGGTCAAAAACTTTTGTACCTTAATATTAGTTATCTGAGGACATTCTTTAAATATTCAAAATCAGGCAACAACATAAAAAAGTATTTCAGACTCAAAGTGACTAAACCATCATACAACTTAGAAAACTTTGCAAATAAAAACATGCAAATATTATTAGCTTGAGCACATATATTATTACCCATCTTCAAAGAGGCTCTTGGAATAACTCAAAGTCATTTAAATTTAACTTAAAAAGATGAGTATAGGTTAAAATTTTGCAAATTATTACTTTTACATTATATAAATAATGTAAAATATAAATAATGAATACACATTTTAGATCATTCCAAATTACTTGGACTTATTTCTACAAATTTTCTATCTTTAATACTCATTTGTAATGTCAGGATTACAGCCTTTGATGCAAAATTATCATTTCAATTTATTTTCTAGTTTAGTTTAAGTATTTAGCTAATCTTAGATATTCCTGTCTGTTCTATAATTTAATTATGTCTACCATTGTGTGAGGACTACATAACACACTATTTTTTCATTAAAAGTCTCAGTGATTATGGTACAATAACTATTCTTGAAAGCGGAAAATAGGAAATGAAGACTCTTGGGTATGATGCTAAATAATTTAAATAACTAGTCTGAGACAATCAACATTTTAATGTGCTTTTTATTACTTAAGAGTCAATTTTTTAGTTGGTTTAAGTTATATCTGTAGAACCATCCTTGGTTATTTTCTGGTTATGTAAAGATTTCACATCTCATTTATGTTTATTGCAGTATGTAAATAGAATAGCAATGACTTATTGTTTTAAAGATTTTGACTTAATATTAATGAAGTTAGAAAATCTATATTTATTTACTTTTATAACTTCATTAATACTAAGCTGCAAGAGCTTATCTATGCTTTGTTTTTCCTTAGAGCTAACCTTGAATTAATGTGTAAATTCATGAAAGATCTTTTTACTTCCTCTGGCATCATAGTCACTATTCTAATTCGCTGAAAAAAAAGGTGTAGATTAACTACTAACTGACCTGTAG